AATTGGATCCACACTGGGGAGAAGCCATATAAATGTATGGAGTGTGGAAAGGGCTTCTGTGAAAATTGGTCCCTGATGAGACATGAAAGGATCCACACAGTGGAGAAACCATATAAATGTATGGAGTGTGGAAAGGGCTTCTGTGAAAATTGGTCCCTGATGAGACATGAAAGGATCCACACAGCGGAGAAGCCATATAAATGTAGAGAGTGTGGAAAGGGCTTCTGTGAAAATTGGTCCCTGATGAGACATAAAAGGATCCACACAGGGGAGAAGCCATATCAGTGCATGGAGTGTGGAAAGACCTTTATTCAGAGCAGTCACCTTACTTCCCATAAAAGGATCCACACAGGGGAGAAGCCGTATAAATGCATGGAGTGTGGAAAGACCTTTACACATAGCAGTCATGTTACTTCCCATAAAAGGATCCACACAGGGGAGAAGCCATATAAGTGTGTGGAGTGTGGAAAGGAGTTCTGTGAAAATGTATCTCTTATGAGACATAAAATGATCCACACAGGGGAAAAACCGTATAAATGCAGAGAGTGTGGAAACAGCTTCAGAACAAGTGGTTCCCTTACTTCCCATAAAAGAATCCACACGGGGGAGAAGCCGTATAAATGTGTGGAGTGTGGAAAGAGCTTCAGGAGGAGCAATGACCTAATTTGCCATACACAGATCCATTTGGGTGAGAGTCCATGTAAATTCTAGATTTTGTTGGTTAGATCTATGCATTTCCTATTGATATATACTTAACTAGGAAAGGAAAGTGCTTTGAGTCTGACCCTCACAACTTGCAGCCTCTTAGAGTCTAAAATGAAAATGAAATGAAAACAAAAACAATGGGTACATCCCGTTTTAATTATGAACTGTGGAGTTTGGAAGGTACTGTCATTTTAGGTGGCCAATGCTAATGCACATCAATAACAGAAAATCTTTTGTTCTTAAGTTTATGTTTATTCCAGTTTCCAGTTGATCCATGTTTCTGGGAGGGATGTGAACAGGCAGACATTTAACAGGTGCTGCTTCCCCAGGCTGTAGAAGGAGCTGCATCTCCCTGATGCATCTCTTCAAGACAAAGCTTTATTATATAAAGCTGATAGAAATTTAACTGATTCACAGTCACTTGCCGTAGTTTAAACTTTCCTTCTTTTGCCTAGTCTGCTTACAATTGTTTTCCCCTCCCTTTCTCATTCCTTAATACACTCACCGTTCATCAGAGGACCCTACATTCCTCCCCAAAAGATGGAAATGGTGCAGCAGAGATATTCTGGATTCTGAAGCACTATTATAATCCAAAGGGAACTCAAGTTCCATCAAAGTATACAGAGAGAGGTAGAATAGAATATTGAATTCTTCCATTGAATAATCT